TTGCAGATACTATTCAAAATCTTTTTGTAAGTAAGAAGACAATGGTTTTATTATTGCTTCACCCTGCATATCTTTGGCTGCCACAGGGACACATTAAACTAGTTGCCTTGCTCACACATCTGTAGAAACAGAGCTGAACGTAGCAAGTTAAAAATAGCACGTTTTTTTAACAATGATAATTCAGATCTATTTGCCTCATTTAGGATCGACTCTGTCTCTCTGTCTATTTTTTAAATGGTCATCCTCGAGATGAGATCCTAACAATGAAATGTTTTACAAATCGTTTAAAGTTTATAATCTGAGTTTAAACGGAACCATTTCTTTTCTAATGCAAATGTATGCTCTATATTTTATATCTCTAGCTATATCTATCTATATGTAAATGACTGGTCATATATACTGCTGATTTTACAAAAAACACCAAGCACTAAAGAAAATCAACCAGAATCATGAAATTTCTTCCTAGTATGGGTCATAAATCATGGCCCTTTCAGTTACCGGATATGTCTTCTATCTCACCGGTATTAATTTGGGCCAGTGTTCCTGTGAAAGTTAATAAATGCAAATCTCTCTTCACAAACGGCTGATATCAAGCAAGGTATAAGGACTGCATTTCTGAGCCTGCCAAGACAAAAAACCTCTGCCTGCCCTCAGACATCCATCATAATGAACCTCTCGACACTTTATCCTTCAGCTATTCTAAACCCTAAAAGATACCAAACTCTCAAACAGGTGATCTCTGCTCAACAGAAGCAAGCTGAAACAGCAACAACGGGTGTCAGAGCACGCTCCCATGGCAAACAGAGAAGACAGCAAATTTGAGCAGCCCCTGTGGAAGGTGGAAGACATGCAGATGAGGTTAGTAACAAGGGTTTGGTTGGGCTAAGGTTTGTTTCCTTTGCCTTTCTGCCCTTGCCGTTTATCTCCCGTGCCCTGGAGCACACGTTTTTGCATGTTCCTCTCTTTCATAAAGTTAATTATAAACAACATGCTAGAGGACAGCCCACCTGAAAAACACCATAGCTGGGTGTGCTAAAGTAAGATCTGCTCCAGTTGGTTTCAGTTACCCAAACGGGTCGTGTTCTTGTGCAGTAAAGAATGTTTTATCTAGTGGCAAAGACGCTTCAGGAGGACTGTAGTGATGATGACGGGGACTTTGCTGAAGAGGACATCCTGACTTAAGTGGCTGAACTTTTGTTCTGTCTGGAACGGTTTTTTCATGCCCACGCATTCGACACTCAGCCGCTTTAACTAACATAAACGTTGAGTTATATTACATGGAATGTAAAATTCTGGTACTATTTAAATTACAACGCGGGGGCATCTCTTCAGCTACTCAGAAGGTGAGCGGTCTGAACGCGTTGTCCTCAAAGTCTCTTCAACTCTGGGGTGGACATATTCAAGCTGTTTACCTGCTGCTGTAACACAGTCATGACATGTTCCAGCCAAGGATAAATACGATGTCTAAATATTATGTCTCAGCTCGAGACTCCCAGCCAAGAGCTGAATAGCCGAACAGGCATTAAATAAATAATTATGGAAATAGATTTGGCAGGCTTACTTTTAAATAGTCTCCCTGTCATACGTGATTATTTACACACGATACGAAAAGCACGATGAGACAAAGGGTATTGAAAGGACAGCTATTTAGGTACTCGCAGGACGGCTGTAAAAGCCTGGATACAGCGGCTGCACCCGAAAGGCGAGTTGCGAGAGGGGGACGGGACGGGACGGGACAGCAGCCGCTGCGCGCAGCGGACGCCGTTGGGGGGCGGTTCCCGCCCCCCCGGTCACCCC